GCGGGACTGCGCAGATCCTTTTCCAAACTTCCTGGCTCTTTTGCACTGAATTTTGCTTTCAACTCTCAGTGGTGCCAAAGCTAGTTAGGTTCAAGCTAACTCGTGGGTGTTTACTGCAGCTCTGGCAGTAATTGAAGATGCTTGGAATTAGGTCAGATGAAGTTTGTGCGTGGAACTTTGAGGCAAAATATCCTTTCTTGTTTGCTCCTTCCAGCATCTAAGCAGTAGCTGATTGCAGTATATCTGTGTTCCCTGCCGCTCCCAGACTCCTGCTGTCAGCCAGAGCAGAGCACGCTTGGTGCTCCTCGCTCTGGCAGGGCACCGAGCCTGCAGACCCGTCCCGATCCTGGGCACAGGGGTGCGCACAGGCCGAGCCCCCCCTCCACGAGCCCCCCGCTGCAGCCCAGGGTGCCTTACCCGCGACTCCTCTGCGAGGTGGGCGTTCATTTCCTGCTCACTGAGTGGAGGCATGTCATGGATTTGCTTGTAGTATCGCTGCACTATCTTCCTATACTCAGGGATCTCCTTGGCGTACAGTAGTTTATTGGTCGGGGAGTCCTAGCACAAGGGCGAGATACTGAAATCAGACACCGTATTGCTCCTGGCTGGAAACTTTTTATCCTGTTTGTCTGACCAAAATGCTAACCATCAGACACCAGCTTCAGCTACAGCTGGGTTCAGGAAACAGCTACATCTTTGGTCCTGGCTTTACACAGACAGGAGCGCGGTGGGACCGCACTGATGCACAGAACAGCTAATGACAGAGGCGCTTGCTCAAACACATCAAGGTGCTGCAGACAGGTACCACCCGCCTGCGGAGCCGCAGCACTGTCCCTCTGCCCTTCTTCCTAGCAGGAGCTAAATGTTTGTTAGCTACAATGCCAGTGAGGGTGGTCTATGTGAATGTGTTTTTATTTGCAGCAAAGGCAGGCTAAAAAGCATGCACAGGGTCAGGCGAGGTGGCTTGCTGCCAGGTGATGCTCTGCAGATGAATGTAGCACAACTGTGTTAGATAAAACTCTTGTGCTCCGTGGCTCTGTGTGTGGAAATTGGTAACAAGGGAAGGGCTTCTGCATGCATTTACTCGGGTCTCTTGAGTGGCCAGCTTGATTTAAACCAAAGAACAAAGCTCTCTTACAAGCTCAACTTTGTCAGTTGAAATGTTCCTCTTGGATTTTTCATGTAGCTTTGATTTATTTTGCATTGGCTAACCCAGCCTGCCTGGCCTACACTGAGTGCACGTAAAGTAATTAACAGAAAATACTGAGTTGTCTTGATTAATGTCAGCTTGGACAAAGCAGTCTTAACCTCCCAGCCACATGATCAGGTTGTACCAGTGAAGGCATAACCCTGCCTGCACTCCTTGCAAACACAAGCATGAATGATTTTAACCTCAAGGCAATCCTGCCCTGCTGATATCATTACCCCGGGAATGAACTTGGCTGACTGGCTTAGCGTTGCATCCCGAAGGGAAACAGCCCCAGGCTCGGGGACACAGAGGGGAGTAAGATCAACACCTCTCGCTGTCCCGACACTGGAGTGCAGGACTGCTCCCTGGTGCTCTGACAGGTGGAGAGGGGAGGGAGGATCTTCAGAAGAGACAAGCACGGCAGGGCTTTAGCCATGGAGGCAGCATCTTCAGCAGTATTGGGCAGTAAATAAGGAAGCCCAGGGTAACAGCAATCTGCTGCTGCAATATGTAGCGTGGCTAATGCTGCAGGGGAAATGGGAAATGGGCACCAGGCTGTGGCACCAGATCCCACAGCAGTTTATTTTCAAACCTAATGATACGGCATTACAGGAATATAGCCAAGTTACAGAGCCTGCTCACAACACATTTTTTTCCCCCTTGGAAACACAAAAGAAACCCATGCTGCCTCTTTTTTTAAGTTACTTTTTAATTTCTGTCTGATTTGTCTGTATTATGAAGAGATGGGTACTGGTTTATTAACTGCTTGCACACTGTAGATGTATGGAGTCTGAGTCTGCTCTCACATTTGCAGTATCAAGAGCACAACACTGAAACCAGGGGAAGAATCCAGCCTGGAAAACTTTCAGCGATATAATGTGTGTATATGCAAACTGATTTTTATGCTGAGAATTTATTCTTCCCACATTACTCAACAATTCCTTCACTTATGCTATTGTATTCCTGAAAAATGTTTCCATCTGCTGTCTGACTCCAGCTGACCCCTCTTCCCCTCATCCACAGCTTGACAAGGACAAATTGTAGGTGTTTCGTAACGCATGCAAAAAAAAGTCCCGAACCTAAACAAACAAAAAATCAAGCGCTCATTAGATCTTCCTCCCGTATTAATCTCTCCCAGGGAAGGCTTCCTGTTGCTCTCAGTCTGGGGGATGCACTGAGCAGCGCCCGCCTCCCGCCCCTCTCTCCGCAGGGTCCTCTCTACGTCACACACTGTGCTGCCGCCAGCCCCCGGGGCGGGAGGGCGGTGGGGGACGATTTACAGCATTTCTTAATAAAACTTATTTATGTTGGGAAGTTTCAAATGTCAACACTGCACTCAGCCAAGCCAGTGGGAGAACAGAAAACATGCGCACTGGACATCCCACTGCCTGCCAGCCCCGCAGAATGGCGCGTGGGAGCCGATGGCGGGAGAGGAGACCTGGCCTGCACAGGCTCGCATTTGCTCGGAGCAGGCATAGGTTCCTAGGCAGGCGTGCAGAGTCTGCCAGGCTCTGGCCACACACCGGAGGTGGCCAGCGTGCGATGGAGACACTTCGACCGGAGGGGAGCACCCACCCGAGGGGAGCACCCACCCGAGGGGAGCGCCACGTGCTCCACAGGCAGGGCTACAGCAGTGCCCACCAACTGCTTCCCACGTGCTGATGGATGGCACCAACGGGATGGCCCCAGGCACTCCCCACCCCTCCCTGTGAGCCAGGCTGGGTCTGGGCTGCCTGGGCAGGCGCAGCCCATGTTCGCGAAGGCTTGGCTCACCTCCTGAGCTTCTCACGGCTCTCCTAGGTGAGAAGCTGTGCAGAAACCACTGACAGTGATGATGAAAGCTTCACCTGAAGCTACGTCATTTTCCATCCTGCCACTGGGAGTTTACATTGTCCCTCAGCTGCTGTTATGGGATTGTTGGACTAATGTTCACCCCTAAACCAGCCCTGCCTGAGGGAGCTGGGCTCCCATGCCGAGTCTTGCCTGTGCCCCGTGCCTGTGCCCAGAGCAGAGCTGACACCCGCCCGTGCTCGCTTTGGTACATTACAAGCCTGCCAGAGCCAACAACAGAGAACATTCGTCTGCTCAGGCACCAACTCAGCCCCGCCAGGAAGCGTTACAGATGTTGTGCTGAGAAAGCTGGGTGCTCTCCTGGGACCGCGGCACAACTCGTACAGCCACTGGGTAACACCGAGCACACAGGCCAGCGGTTGGGTCTCCCTCCACCCTCCGAGCCTTCCAGGCTGGGGCCTTGCCCTTTGTCCATCCTGCCTGTCACCCTGTGTTCCCACTCCCCCATCACTGTTTGTGACAGAGGTGGCGCAAACTTCAAGCTCAAACCTGAACAAAGTGGTGGGGAAGGAAGGGGGAGAATTCACCCTTGGAGACAGCCAAAACTCAACTGCATGGACCTGAGCAAGTGGCTCCCAGCCAGCCCTGCTGTTTTCTACAACAACCCCACGCAACACTACAGGCTTGGGGAAGAGTGGCTGGAAAGCTGCCCAGAGGAAAAGGACCGGGGGGTGCTGGTTGACAGCCGGCTGAACGTGAGCCGGCAGTGTGCCCAGGTGGCCAAGAAGGCCAATGGCATCCTGGCCTGTATCAGCAATAGTGTGGCCAGCAGGAGGAGGGAGGTGATCGTGCCCCTGCACTCGGCCCTGGTGAGGCCGCACCTCAAATACTGTGTTCAGTTTTGGGCCCCTCACTACAAGAAGGACATTGAGGAGCTGGAGCGTGTCCAGAGAAGGGCAACGAAGCTGGTGAAGGGCCTGGAGCATAAGTCTGAGGAGGATCGGCTGAGGGAACTGGGGCTGTTTAGCCTGGAGAAGAGGAGGCTGAGGGGAGACCTCATCGCGCTCTACAACTACCTGGAAGGAGGGTGTAGCGAGGTGGGGGTTGGTCTCTTCTGCCAAGTAACCAGCGATAGGACGAGAGGAAATGGCCTCAAGTTGCGCCAGGGGAGGTTTAGACTGGACATTAGGAAAAACTTCTTTACTGAAAGAGTGGTCAGGCCTTGGAACAGGCTGCCCAGGGAAGTGGTGGAGTCACCAACCCTGGAGGTATTTAAAAGACGTGTAGATGAGGCGCTTAGGGACATGCTTTAGTGGGCATGGTGGTGTTGGGTTGATGGTTGGACTTGATGATCTTAGACGTCTTTTCCAACCTTAATGACTCTATGATTCTAAGATTCTATGGGGGAGGTTGGCCTGGGTGACCTCTGACAGTCCCTTCCCACCCATTCTGGTCTGTGTCTATGACCACCCGAGCAGGAGTGAGATGTCCTCTCTGGAAGGTACCTTGCCCAGCTGCAGGTCAGACAGGGAGCAGGCATCAATGAAGGCCTGGGCTATCACAGAGAGACAGGCGTCAATGTGGTCTGTCTTGTCAATGTCGAAGACGAACTGCGGGTTCTTCAGGATGTTGACCCAAAACCTCAGAGGTAGGCTGCGAAGGAAACAAGCCAGGAACACACACCGGGTGTATTCCAGAGGGAGAGAGGAGGAAACACAGGAAAGATGATGATAGAAAGTGAATAATAGAGAGGAAAAAAAGAGGAGCCAGGTTCTGCTGTTTAGTCACATCTTGGTAGCGTACAGCCCTCTGCCTAGCTAGGGGGGCAGGCACACGTCTTCACCCTGAAGAGACATTTCTTCAGGCTGAAGCATGCGGCACGGACAGGAGACTTCATGTACAGCCTTGTCTAGGCGAGCGTATACCCTTGCTCCTTCGGCAGCTCCCCGAGCTACTGGCAGGTGTGCCTGCATGGGGCTGTTGAACCAGGTTTCCCCACTTGCTCATTTTTGTAGCAATGGTGTCAGCTCCTTTTCCTTCTTCCCCAGTAACCATCATCTGGTTCTGATGGTAAGCCTAGCCCTATGAAATGCATTTCATGTGTCTTTTTTCTCTGCTCTCTCATAATTTTCTCCTCCAGTTATTTCACTGCTCATTTGCCCACAACACAGTTTCACTATATCGCTCGCCCTTCCTACCATCCCTCCTCAGCAGCTGAGGAGTGAAAGCTGCTGTAAGTCTTTGCTCTACTGGCAATTAAAGGTAATGAAGGGTATGCAAATCTGTAGCTCAACGGTTGTGTCTGCATGCCTGCTATCCCAGCCAAATTTGTTTTTAATTTTCACATGTTGGGCTGGAAACAGTTAAGGTCCCTGCAGCCTCAGGAGCGCTGAGCCTCCCCTCGACACTCCCTCCAAGATCCCTGCTCTCCCTGGTTAAAACTTCTGGATTCTCCCCTGCTCTATTTCCCCGCTTCGCTTTGGCTGCCCCACCCCATTCCCATCCCTCAGCACTGCTCCCGGCTGGTTGCCAGTGCTGCGGTGCCCGCCAGCACAATACTGTCACAGCACCAGCTCCTGGAGTCCTGTGAATACCCTGGGGTCTCAGCTTGGTTACAGAGGTAAGTCTGGAAAAGTGCCCCCAAGGGCTGAAAAGCCAGAAAGCAAATGAAAAGGAGCCAAACATGCTGCTTTTAAAATCTCTGTGATGTTTTAAGACCTGACATGATTTTGGAGACTGTCTCAGATCTCCAGTGCTTGGAGCTAACACCATTGCTATCTCCCGTCCCTCTTCTGTGTCTCCTTTAATTACTTGTATTAATGTGCCAGTTTGTTCTGCCCTTTCTCTGCCTATGCCTCCTCTTCCAGCTTGCTGCTCCCTGAGGTCTGTGTTTGTTCAAAGCTCTCCAAGCCTGTGTTTGGCCTCATCTGTCACCGCCCCCTCCACCACCCCTCCTGTTTTCCAAGTCCCTCTTCTACTTTTAGCAACCTAATGATTAGTCCGGGACACCAAGGTTTTGCAGCTGCTGCTCCTGAGAGATGGAAGTAAAGAAAGATTTCCTCTTCCAAACCTGTTGGTCTTCCAGATGTGCATAGTGTCAGGGTCTGTGATCCCTCTTTTCTCTGCTTGCTCCTCTAGAAAGTCAAAGAAATACTTCACGGCCACAGGTGGTTTATCATCTCGGATACTGAGAATGGCTTTGAACAAGTCGTCCAGGAACTTCTGCAGCGTGCCCTGCGGGACAAGCGCACACAAAGGAGACTGAGGAAAGCAGCAGCACCCAAGCCCAGGAAAACAGCGTGAGGGGCTGCGACTGCTGCGCAGAAGGGGAAATCCTTTGCTGCCAGTTGGATAAATCAGAAGAGAAAGGGGATGCCGAACCAGGGAGGGAAAGGTTTCTTTGTGCATAGTGATATAATTAGCTTGCATTTGGGTTTAATTTCTTTTGGCATCGAGATTTTCTTTCTTACTGCTAGAATCTCACATCTGTGATTGTTCTGCACAGTAAATACAAAGAAGACTGGAGACTGCTGGCCATTCTTGTGATCTCTGCTCCAGTGAGGCATCATGCTGGGATTAAAGATGGGCTGGGAGCCCAACTGCTGGAGCTGAGCACTCGCAGAGAGTGGGGAAGTTCAAATCTGAATTAAGATTGCACAGACATTCCCCTGGCTCCCAGAGCTGAGCATCTCCATCTCCTTTCCCAGCAGGATCTCTCGCTGGGGAAATGGGTTCAGGTCTAAACTGTGCATCACGAACGCTGAGGCGGTCAGCATCCCTTTCATGTGCACAGACCCCAGACCAGCCTGGGGAGATTGCGTGGGGCTTCACGCAGCAGCACTGCTGCTTGGAGAGCAAGCTGGAAAGCTGGAGGGAACCCAAGGAGCCAGTGTGCCCGGCAGCCTCACTAAACACGCTCCAGCCGTCCAGGACAGAAGAGTCCCACTGCCTCTCAAGAGCTACCAGCCCCGCAGTGCTCCTTCCCTAGAGTAGGCTTCTCGCTACAGATCACAAACAATAATCCCACCTGCCACGAAGGAGGACATCCCATCCCCTACCTTTGTGGAGAGCAGCCTGGTCAGGTAGATCTCTGGTAGGACTTTCTTCCTATGGCTCTGTCTGTGGGACTTCTTATGTTCAACTGATTCATCAGTCGGGAGAACCTGGTCCGATATAAAACACATGTTCAGAGCGCTCCTCTCTGGAAGTGTCACACTGAATTTTCCTTAAAGTATAGAATTTCAACTGCATATAAAATTCAATTAAAAAGCAGTTATTGTATTATAAATACACCCTTATATGGCTTTACAAAAGTGATTCATAATACTCAGTTTTTCTGACATTTGCTTCTCTTGCACTCTTTACTGCCTTTCTCAAGCTAGACAAAGAAAATGAAACAATCAATCTCACTTTGCATGTTAGTCTGCTCGCCTTCCTGGTCTCTGTGCAGTACTCCTGTGTGGCTGCAGTTTAGGGTCCCAGGAGCAACACACAAAGCTTCCGTGGAAACGAGCTTTTCTTAGATTTGGAAAAAGTGCAAGAACGATCAGCCAATATTCCTACCCTGGTCTTTTTAAAAACAAAAATAAATATTCCACTGGTCAGGTCAGTTAATTACTGCTGTATAATGACCTAGCAAGCCATTTAAGTCCATCTTGGCATTGTTTCACATGTGCACATTTGGTTTCCTGTCCCTTCTCCCTCCTTGCTCCCTGTGTACGTGTACGTGCATGCACGTGTGTGCATGCACGTGTGTGCATGCATCATGTGTTCGTACTCTATTTGAGCACGGAAACTTTAGCAGAGAAAAAAAAAATCAGGCTATAAAATATCATTGTTGTCCATAACACTTTTTTTCGTAACAGCTTTTAGCAATGTTTAGCACTTCGTACTTCCAGCGTGGCGCACAAGCAGGAACTAATAAATCTCCCCCGCCCCGGGAAGCAGGCAGCATGCCAGGAGCTGCTGGTAGGTGACTTGACCAAGGCTGCGTGGGGTGCTGCTGGCGGTGCTCTGACTGTGCTCCTGAACTCTCTGTGGCTCAGCAGCTAGATCAGGCACAACAATTGCTTTGCCATCCTGGTAATTTTTTATTGTGTCCCATAGTACTAAAGCTTGCCTACAGATAACCTTTCTGCGCCTCTGAGCCTCTCTGAAGAAAACTAACGAGCCCTGATCCAGCTTGTTCATCACATCTGACATTCCAGCCCACAGAGATGAATTAAGTTAATATCAGCAAAGCTGAGAAGATTTTCTCCTCTTTCATCACATACACTGAAAAAACAGGACACACAGACTTAAGTGCACGAGAGACGAGGGATCGCTGTGCACACACAGCCTGACTGGTGACCTCTTTGCTCCCAGCACTTTCCAGACTGCCGCCTTCCGGGGGGACGTCTCCCCAGCAGCCAGCCTGGCAGCAGAGGACAACCTGGCCCCTGCCTGGCTGAGGGTTCACCACAGCCCAGGGCCTGCCTGCCCCAGTGCCGCAGGGGCCGGCTGCTGCCGGAGATGAAATGGCCTGTTTGGCGCCTGTTTGCAGTGACGAAAGCAACAGCTTCCATTGTCTGCTAACAGGCAGCCATCGTAAAGGTGAAATATGTCGAAATACGCAGATTAGATGGGCATCCCTCCACTGCTGCAAGAAGCCCTTCCTCCAGCGCCCTGCCAGCCCCCCTGGGCTGGGCCACGCCGCCCGCCCACACCCTGCCAGCGTCTTCGCTGTCATGGCGGCAGGAGGGGTTTTGGGGGAGCAGAGCCACCGCTGTGACCCGTCCCCTGTCATGCCGCGCTGCAGAGCGGGCATCCTGGAGCGATGGCTCTGCTCCCCAGCAGCGCTCCCCTGGAAGGGCAGGAGAGGAGAGCGGCCCCCGACCCCCCCACTATGCAGCCACCAGCCTCCAC